ATCTGGCGAGGGGCCGCGCTGTCACCTCCTCTGGCTGCCCATGGCGCACGGCGCTTCCCGCCCTCCGGCCCTTGGCTCCACCTCTCCCTCCCTGCAAACAATTTTAATTTGTACTACCTCTCTTCATTTATATCCTTCAGCGGCCTCTCTCACTGCTGCAGGTCAACTGAAAACTCAAATGGCGACAGCACACGTATGCTAAAAAGGTAGTCTATTTGCAAAACCTACAAGTCATCTGTAAAAAAAACCCCCCAAACCCTCAAAGTTTTAATTCTGAAGTCTGAATAGATCACAGATGTACCATGTAGGCTGGGTGCGGTACGTAAAAAATAGTCGTTTATATATAAGTATTTTACTAATAATAAATATAAATAAAAATTACCCTCCCCAACCTGTGTTAATTGTGGAGAGTGGATCAGGCGGCTTTCACAGCACTTGTTCCTTCAATTCCCTCCCCCCTTAAAGGCAGGGGATAATAAGTTCATAAAAATAGATACACAAAACCAAACCCATTTAAAAAAAAGCAAAAATAGGCCTATTGAACACAAGTCCTTGCAAGTGTCAGGCAGATAGAAAACACGAGCTTTGTTTTTGTGTAACATTTATGCTCTCAACAGTATTTTCTGCTTCCTTTCAGTGAAATCTAAACCACAACAACTACAGTTGTATAGCTTAGGTAATTGAGTAACATACTGAACACTATCTAAGCCTTGTAACTAAAAAACAGCATTGAAAAAAAATTATGGTAAAATTTAATCTCTCAAAAAATCTAATTCAATTCCTGCAACAGCAACTTTAAAATAATTTCTAAGCATAAACAAGTCAGATAAGTATGGGCCAATTTAAATTTCAACATGCTGGTTTTTAAAATGAACAGAACTTAAATTGTCATCTGCACCTTTTTAGCATTCTCAGTCTCCCAGATGAATACAGCAATAAATTACAAAAAGTTTTTTCAAAGGTGAATTTAGTGGGTGTTTTAGAAAAAAGTCAAATCAGCAAACACAGGAAAAAAATAAAACACTTTCCACACGCAGATATGGTGAGTAATTCAACTTCATTCTTGGCATTCACCTTTACAGCAACCAATTATCACACCAACTCAATCAGTGCCTTGTTTCACTGAGATTTCCAACAAAGACACCAATGCATTTGTAGCCTAAGAACATAAATTCAGAAAGAATCAAGCTGCTCCCTCCTGCCCCCCTCCCCACCAAAAAAAAAAAAAAAAAAAAAAAAAGGGGGACATAATTTGGAGTTAGAAATAAACAAAACCAAAATGCTCCTGCTGCTGCACCTACCAACTGCCACGCTTTGGATTCCAGGTCACACCAGTTATGCAACTGCTACGTGACTGAGGTAGCTCAGTAACTGCAGCAGCAGCCAGCACCCTTCCCAGCCTCCTGTTCCTTGACTCCATGCAGCCCTGATTTATTTCTAGCAAACCCAACATATTTTAGCAGAGGTGCAGGAGTTTTTAAATGAGCATTCTGCAACTTGCACAGATTGGAATCCCAGGGGGATTGTCAAAGAGTCAGCAATTCTATCTGTCCCCTCATGCTATTCCTGGAGCACCAACACGGCAGCATTTGCTTATTTTGTGTATCCATTAATGAAAATTCTCTCATATGAGCATTACTGCTGTACAGGAGAAAAGAAACACCTTTTCAGATGGGCAGCTAATAATTTATTTTTTTGTTCTTCCTAACAGTAACGTTAGAATTCTTCTTCTGCGTTTGGAACATGTGAAGTCTTAAGTTTCTTGAGTTTTTCAATAGCAGAACATACTGAAATCTCTCCATGAACTTTGTTGTCTCTTGTGCGCACGTTGACAGCATTATTTGCTTTCTCCTTTTCTCCAACCACTGCAAGACATATACCACAAACGGTATTAAACTGACGAGCTACATTACAAAATGATAGTCCAGACAAACTCTATGCCAAACATTAAAACTGAAATGATATTCATAAATGTAAGATGCTGCAATTACCCAAGATAAAGTTATACTGAGCCAGCTGTGCATTTCTTATTTTCTTGTTTAATGTGCAACTTCGATCTAGATCCACATCCGACATAAATCCGGCTTCAAAAAATTCACTGCAAACCTAATAAAAAAAAACAAACACAAAAAACTCTCACTTAATATTACAGTGTATATTCTACGACATTAATTTGTACATGCTGTAATCTCTGATCTCTTCCTAGAAGTAATTAATGTATGTGCGTGTAAGGAAGTCCATGAAGTTACTGGAAGAAAACTGCACACACACTTAAGGGCTTAGCAGGAGTCCAGTTGGAAGACAATACAAGGTAACATGCATATCAAGTATTTGTTGATCTCCTCAGCCAGCTACAATGCTGAATGTCAAAAGTGTTTCCTCAGTCTGAGAAAGGAGAAAGAGGAGAAGGAACAAAACCACTTATGCTTGCCTTGAAAGAAAAGGCTTAAAAGGGGAGAGGGGCAAAACCAACCATGGTCAAATGTAATGTCGTCAAGAGCATACATGCTGGGAAATGGAAGAAACCGGCTCTGCCCCTACTTAAGCAGACAATTTTGTAATGAAGTATTACTTAGTATGTAAGGTAATTACTGAAGTATGTACATAATAACAGAACCCAAAACACTTACAGTTGCATATCCCTTTCTCAGGCTTATACAACACAGACTACATGGAAAAATTTACCCCCCTCCAATATATGTCAAAAATAATTAAAGCATTAATTCTTTGTTCTAGGACAAGTACTTAAGGTGCTATTAAAATTGCTTGCTACTATAAAAAGGCAGACCCTACTCTCACCTGCCGGGCATACTCTTCAGACGTAGGTCCCACAGGCACAACCATGACCTGCCGTGGAGACAGCCAGAATGGCCTGGCAAGCAGGACAAGAAAAATATTTAATAAATATGCATTTTACATTTGCATTCAAATCCATAGTCATGTTCCCCAATCATAATTTCTTTATAAAAATATTTATGCTGGCTAAAGACACTGGATGTTATCTTCCTGTTTTCAAGTTCACATAAACTAGCAAATAGATTGATTTCAGTAAAATGACATATGCAGAACTTTGACCTTCTGTCACTTCCTAGCTGACTTCACAATTTTAAACAGACTTTTTTTTTTTTGCATAATTTCCACTTTTATTTATAACTTTATAGTGAAAGGTGGACAGTCAGACAGATAGGTGTCTGAAAGTAAGAACTAACTCTTCCTTAATACTTTAAATCCATTAATGAGGAAGAATCTTCAGAGCTTATTCAAAATAAAACAATACATCTTACAAGTTAATAAAATATTTCACATATTAGGACTAATTAATGTCTGTATAAATAATTGCTTTACATATACCTAACATCATCTCAGTAAAAAAGCATGATTTTTAAGAAAAAAGGAAGAATAAACACAGCACATTTACACTGAAGTACAATTCTTATTTCTGCTTTATTATATAATTTTTCCTGCAATCCCTTGCAACTGAGTATCTAATAATGAACTATAAATAAAAGATTATCATACAGCTTAGACCATAAAATTAGACTTCTTTTCTTCTTAGAATTTTGAGAAAATTCTACAGAAGTTATTTTGCATTATAATATAATGTGTTTTCCTACATTGTTAAACATTTCTTAGAACCACATTTGTACCACATACCATTTTCCTCCATAATTTTCTGCTAGAATAGCTATCATTCTCTCCACAGATCCCAAAATAGCTCTGTGAATAATCACTGGCCTTTTCTTATCATCGCCATCCTTTCTGAAAAAAAGTAAGTAGTCTTTTAAAAAAAAAATTCTCTTAGCTCATACACATATAATCCTACTAGTATTTTTGATTCTACTTTTCACAGAAAGACAAAGTTCAGTTACTTATACTGAGGCAAAATCTACCCTTTTTATTAAAAATGTACTTTCTTTAAGTAACCTGGGCTTTTAAAGGAATACTGAATAATCATAGTGTCTAAAAATAATCATGCCTATAGCTACTGGCATAAGCAAACACTCCTGAATTTTAAAGACACTCGACTGACTCAGCTCCATTTTTGTGTATTTGAATATTCAATGTTCTTCCTTGCTCTTTCTTTTCTGCTATGTCTCACTTTTTTGTTGCACAGGCTCTTGCCTACCCTTACTGTTAATTTCTTTCCTTAAATTACAATGCTGTGATTAAAAAATTTTTAAAAAGCCATCTCCTGTTTACAACAGAATTAACACCTACCAAAGAGCTACGAGATCTACTGTAGTACATGCAGCAGGACTGAAAATAACAAAGATTCTTATTCTATCTTCCCCATCAAACTCTTTAGAATGTGAAAAAACAAACACAGCAAGAAGAACAACCCAAAAAATGTGTGCTCAAGTCAACATGGTACCATGATTAATTCACTCAGTGGATAAATATTCCTCTTCCTAGCTGGAAGCTGAAGTGAGATTTTCATTAGAAAACTGTTTGCATTTGGTTTATGTCCAAAGTTAACTGACTTTATCTGATAAAAAGATTAAAATACTTATTACAAGCATACTAGCTCCTTAAGATGTTTGAATTTGTATGAAATGTCTTCAAAAGGAGGTAACTGACTAGGCTGAAAGCGCAAACTGACTCGACTTAATTGAGTTTTCTTTAGCATTATATATGCTCAGTTGTCTTCAGAACTGACAGACAAGACATATAATGAAATTTTCCTGCAATCAGTAGCACTTACAATTAAAGTGAGCTACCATTACATTGAGGAAATATCTTTCAAGTTTGTGACTCAGTCCTCTACTCACCAGGGATGCTTCCTCTCCTAACCAGGCTACTGATACACAGGCTAATGATTTGTTAAATGAGTAAAAGGGCATTAATACTTCTCAGTTTAATGGGAATTACAGATAATGAAAGTCAATATTTTTTTAAAAAAAAGGTTAATTTAAAAGAGGAAGGTAAATAGCTTAACCACTCACCCAACATAAGTAAGATTAAATCGAATGGGTAGTTGGAAGTCAAGTTGGATAGTAGCACATTGATGGTACCTGCCAATAGCATCTTTGATTTTAATATCAATCTGTGAAGAAAAATAACAGAGTTACTAAATATAGTTTGCCTGCATTGCACCTGTGTTCTCGTCCATTCTAAAGTATTAAAAATGCTGATTCACTAACCTTTGGACCATAAAATGCTCCATCTCCTGGATTCAAATTCCATTTTTCTCCGAAGTTATTCAAGCTGTTTTGAAGTTGCTAATCATAAAAATGAGAGAATAATTTAAAAAGGTATAGCAGGGCCTTTCATTACTATAAGTCAAAGCATTTGCCTTTGAAATGCAAAGGGAGTCAACAGGCAGCACGACTCCTATTGTTCAAGCATTTAGTCATTTATGATAAATAATCCTGAAATAAGTAGTTCCTTGTACAAGTGTTGTGATTAATCTGAAAAAGGATTAATAAATATCAAATCAGTTCAAGATAAAGGGCTAAGTGAGAATCAGAAAAATCTCATTTATACAGAAACTTGACATTTAATGTGATGTTTTTCAATAAGCATTTCTACCGAGGATAATATTTAGCATCCGATTTAAGCAATTTCAATATTCAACACAAAAGAACTTACTTAAATATTCAACTCTGCAAATATAAACAATAAAGGTTTTCATTGTTTTAAAATTAATTACCTTTTCTGCATGATCCCAGATCTCTAACTCGCCTAGATAGTTTTCTGGTCTTGTAGAAAGATGTAGTTGAAAGGTAAAACCAAAGACAGCATACACTGACTTCAAGAAATCAAGACAGCCCTTAATTTCTTCTTCAATCTTAAAAGTAAACAAAATACGTTAAAATTTACTTACATAAAAATGCAATTAGATTTACTGAATTCCTCATAATCAGAATATAAGAGTCCATGAAATCATAATTAAAAAAAAAAAAAAAAAAAAAACAACAGGAAAATTACATCCTACAAACCCAAATCTAGGTAACAGGTAAAGAGAGCTGAGGTGGTGTGGCTTCAAAACATGGCAAGAAAAGGAATGCTCTTGTTAAGCCTGGGCTTCTGGAGCCACATAGCATGAGTCAGACTTGACAAGAGTACATCAATTTATTCACATAGCTCCACTAAAACCTATAGCATTACTGACACAGTATTTATTCAGCATTAATAAAGGAAACAAGAATGTGGTCAATAGCTTTTTTCTTTGTGGAGGGAGATGGAAAAGATTTTATTTGGGATTTACCTGCCCAATATATCTTTCTAAAGGGAAAAAGCCTATACAGAAAATCTTATTACATAATTCACAATCAATAACATCCCTCAAATATAATCATTTTCTTCTTCTGATATAGGCATTTTTAATTTAAAAGAGAAAAATAAGTATCACAAATTATGGCACTGTTATTTGAGAAACCTGTAACAGAGAAGCTAAATTCAACAGCTATTGACTTGAGCAATATTGTAGAAGGTTAAGAAACGTGGAATACCAGATGACTAAGAAGGACGTACCTAAACCTAACAAAAACCCCATCAAAAGCACCACTATGCTACAAAGCAACACAACAGAAGTTACAGTTGAAATACTTTGGGGATTTTTTCTTGTTTAATGTTGGTTTGCTCTAATGGCAGGGGGGCGGGGGGGGTGTTAACAGTTTTGGGTGGGTTTTGGTTTTTTTTTTTCTTTCTTTTCTACCTGTTCTATCGTGCAAAAGATGTGAGCATCATCTTGTTGGAAGCGCCTTACACGAGTCAAGCCACTCAAAGTCCCAGAGAGTTCATTTCGGTGAAGAACTCCAAAATCTGCAAGTCTAAGAGGCATTTCCCTCCAGGATCGTGGACGATGGGCAAACATCAAGCTAGAAGGAACATGGAAGAACCTTCCTTTTATCCTTCTTATAGAAGATTTAAGACAATGCTAAAGAAACTAATACAAGTTTAGTACAGACAGCAATCACATTTTAATTATTTATGCATTCAGGTTGTCTGCATTGCAAAAGGTAGGCAAACAGAAAAAGCGCAGCACTCGGAACGTATTGCCAAAGACCACCCAGAAAAAACACTGCAAGAGTAACAAATCAATACTGGCTCATCTGTACCTTCTTTTGGTACACAATGTCTGATGCCTATCTCTATCCAACATAATTTGTATTTACTAGTGGTACAGACTAGTGTCAGCATGCACAAACCTAGCTCACTTAGTGCAGACCTACTGAAAGATCCTTCTACAAGAACTGTATTTGATCTGCACTTTGGGACACTATCAGGAGAGCTCTCTGGACGCACCACTTGCTCAGCAGTCTATTGTTAACATAAATGGAGTATTAATGCACATTACCATGTATTTCCCCACAGCCCCACAAAGGATAAATATAGTAAAATAAGAAGTTTTTCAGTTGAGAGTACAAACCAATGTCCTGGACAATTCATTGGTTTAAGGGCAAAAGTTTCCTTCTCAATCTCAAAAGAGAACATATTTTCACTGTAGTGCTGCCAGTGTCCTGAAGCTTCCCAGAGTTTACTGTTGAAGATGTTTGGAGACACAACTTCAGTAAAATTACGCCTGTGATATTCCTCCTACAAAACAAATTCAACATTTAAAAGGTGACAGAACTTTTGACAAGCAAAAGCCTGATTCTTTTTAAATGTGTTCCTATGATGGTGATACTGGGAGACTAAAGGACTACTGCTCATGTAGATTTGACACAACTAGAAAAAGCACATGTTGATGCTTTACTCTGTTCTATTTTCAAAAAGGTTAGATCTGTATAATCATAGTGAAAATCTGGTGTATGTTTACATACATATACGTTTCTCTTTCTGGGGACAGCTCAGTGCTATGGAAGGCCTATCACCTAAAATCAACAACTGATATTAAGCTGTTAGGAGTTACATTAGTATATACTCACTCGTATGAAATCCACGAGTGTGTTATAAAGAAAGGCACCTCTGGGGAGGAAAAAGCAGCTTCCAGGACTCAAATCATGAAAGAAGAAGAGTTCTTGCTCCTAGGTAAATTGAAAACAGAATGCTGTAACACCACTTCAGATGGAACTGCACAACTGCAGAACATGACTACTTCACACATGTTGAGAGACCATTCACAAAAAATTAAATATTATAGCAACAATAACTTTTCTAGAAGTCTACAAGTTCTCAGCTACAGTAGTTAATTTATCTGTAGTTCTTACTCTTAGAAGTTTGTAATAACACTGGAATGCCACTTGACTCTGTGACTATATAAATACACATTTCCTCAAAATCCTGAAGCCTTAACCAATCTTACCTTTGACAACCAAAGCAATTAAATCCATCTGATCCGAGAGCTGACGGCTGAAGGTTGTGAGCCAGTCATTCTATATCAGAATTCTGTCTCAAAAATGTAAGCTCAGCAGTGTGGCTCTGATATGTCCTTGGAGAACCTTAGCCTCTTTAGTATCATAGATACTAGATACATAGGCACTAGATAAGTTGTTTGATTAATACTAGACAATTTGTCTTTGAAAAGGTATAGAAATAATCATCCAACACTACACAAATATTCAAGTCTTAATCAGTCAATAGAAATAAGCATGAACAATTCTGTAAAGATATTTTTTTCTACTTTTTCCCTTTGTCACTATTTTCAGTAAATTCCTGAGTGGCTCTTCCCTCTTCTGAGTTACCCTCGGTTATTCATCTTTACTGATGAAGGCCCTTCACAGTCTCTTCTTCCACCTCTGCCAGTAAGTAGTGAGGGGTTCATGACTGCACTCTCTGGGCCAACGATGCTGACCTTCACTTACACATGAGTTTTTCAAACAAATGCCTCCCTGCTTTCCCCTGTACTGCCCATTATGCCTTTAAATACCCAAAAAGCTACTTCTTATCTTCTCTTAAATGCCCTCCCTATAACTCCATCTTCTTTAAAAAACTATAGCAAATGTGACAACAATTAGGAGGCTGCATGCTAACGTGACCAGTATTAGGTCACAGTCCTCGTTTGTGTCAATTTAATGTCTTACGACTTACATTCAATTTAAAATTAAGTATGTACATTTAAATCTGGTAGAGGAATGTCTGAACAATATTCACAACAACAGCTGAAGTACTGCACATACATATCTATTACCTTATTTATGCCTGTAACGAAGAATGACCAAATCATATTATTTATACAGTTTCAGTAATTTCTCTCTTCTGTGAAAAATATAGTTGTTTAGGTAGGAGCTGGAAAGACCCTACATTAAAAGGTTTAAGATATACTTCCATAAATGGAGGGACTACCTCACTACTTCTTCCCAACATTAGTTTAACATTTGTATCCAAGCAACAAGTTGAGTTTGTGGAATTAAAATTTTAAAATACAACTGACTCCAAGAAATTAATAGAACTGTCTCCCATTCAAATTGTCAAAAAATGTAAAAAAAAAAAAAGAAAAAAGATAATTAAAAAAAGAGATAGATAATTAATTGTTGAGGATTGGTTAGCTGACAAGGGT